ACCATTGCCGATATTGGTTTTCCACACCTCCTCCTTAGAGCGATACCCCGCTCATGGGCCTTTGGCCCTTTAGGCCCTTTGAACCTCCCGGGGCCTCCGAAACATCGGGGACGGCCAGGCGTTGTTTACTGTCGTCGCCGTCGTGGTCCATCCTCCCCGTAGACCGTCGTCGTCGTCGTCGCCGACCGTTGTCTTTGTCGCCGCCGCCGACGTCGTCGACCCTCGCCCAGCCTGCCCCTCCTCACAAGGGAGGCTTCCAGCGACTCGGGGGTTGAGTTGCCAGAGCTTTGAAGGAACCTCGGGACATTGTGGAGGGGTCGGGGGGGCCCATCGACACCTCCAAAGGACTCCAGCGACCTCGGAGGGGGCCTCCGGGTGCCCCCGGAGATCTCTCAGAGACCTCTGTAGGCCATCGCGGGCCGTCGTCGTAGTGATCGCTCGGTCCCAGCGTCGAAGATCGCGACAACCGTGCTTGCGCTCTGCCCGCCAGACACCAGCACCGAAAAATTCCCTTATCAGAGCTTGCCTCTGTAGGGGTCCTAGCGGATATAAAGCTGAGGTGAGGTGGGCGGCCGATTTCGGTGGCCGGGGCCGGGTGCCCGGGTGCCCGGGGGTGCCCGGGGGTGCCTGGGTGCCCAGGTGTGTGGCCGATTTCGGTGGCCGGGGCCGGGTGCCCGGGTGCCCGGGGGTGCCCGGGGGTGCCTGGGTGCCCGGGTGCCCAGGGGTGCCCGGGGTGCCCAGAAGTGCCCGGGGGTGCCTAGCCCAATAGCCCTATATCCCTATAGCCCAATAGCCCAATCGCCCTATATCCCTATAGCACGATAACCCTATAGCCCTATAGCCGTATAGCCCTATAGCCCAATAGCCCAATAGCCCAATATCCCTATAGCACTATTCGCCGGCCCAACGGGCCAGAGGCGTGCTAAGATCTCCGGTAACTGGTTAACAATTCTCTAATTCGCGCGCGCGGGGCGGCCCCTGGGGGTCCCCGACGAAAAGTACCCCGGGCGGGTCCCGGCTGATCCCCGGGCGACTCCACCAGAGCGCTCCATGAGCGCACCAACAGGGCTCCGAGACGTCCCCGAGAGCCCCAAGAAAGGCCAAGAGGCCCCCAAGAGGCCCCCAAGATGGTACACGAGGGGTCCGACATGCCACAAGATCGCTCCAAGACGCCCAAGATAGCCCCCAGACGCCCCAAGAGGCCTCCAAGAGCACTCCCAAGAGGGCCCCCGGAGGCAAAATTCATTGCTTTTCCTTAGGTTTTTGAGAGATTTTGGAGCTTCCACCTTTTCGGCTTCCCGACGCCCCAAGACGGCCCAAGAGGCCCCCAAGATCGCCCCAAGAGGGCCCAAGAGGCCCCCAAGAGGGCCCCAAGATGGCCCAAGAGGGCTCGAAGACGGCCCAAGAAGCCTCCAAGACGGTCCAAGAGGGCCCCAAGAACGCCCCCAAAGGGGCCCCAGAGAGGGAACACGAAACAACATTTCGAGCCCTCGGCCCTAAGAAGCCCCTACGAGGCCCCAAGAGGCCCCTAAGAGGCCCCAAGAGGCCCCCACGAGGCCCTCAGGAGGCCCCCAAGAGTCCCCCAAGCGGCCCCAGGAGGCCCCCCAAATGCCCCCCCGAGCACGCAAGCAAGTGCAAGCGATGCTACAATGTGCTCTCCTTTCGGTAGACTCCCAACGGGGCCCCTACAGACTTGCAACAAGCGTCAAGAACCTGCCCAAAAAGCACTGTCCAGGAGCGTTCACAAGTGCCGCGAAGAAGCCCTCCTTACGCCGGAAAGCCCGGAAAGCCGGGTGGGGTGAGCTGTTCTTCTCACCACCGCGCCCTCTCACACAATGGCTTCCGCACGCCGCCCAGAGCGCGACGTTCGGCTCATGCCCCCAGAACGCTCCAGGAGCGCGCCAAAACGGCACCGGAACGCCCCCGAAACAATCCAAGCGGCCTCAAGTCGCCGAACAATCGTTCCAAATCGCCCAAGATGACCTCAAAATTGCCGTCGAGGCCGCCAAGAAGCCCCAAGAGAGCCTCAAGAGGCCCTCCAAGACGGCCATTACAATCAAAAATCGTCCCATTCCCAGAGGAACATGTACACTTCCCGCATGAACGGCGTTTCGAATTTCACAGCGCCTCAGACTACGCAAATAGCCCCCAACATCGCCCCGAGACAGCCCAACAATCCGCTAAAATCGGCCCAAGACGGCCCAAGATAACCCCAAGACGGCACAAGAGAGCACCAAGACCGCCCAAGAGGCGCCCAAAGGGGGATTCTGCCCCTAGGAGCACCTCAGAAGCCACCAACATCCCGCCAATAAGTCCCCCAAGACGCCCCAAGAACCACCCAAGAAGCCCAACAAGAAACACCAACGACCCCCAAACGGCCCTTACGGGGCCTCAAGAGGCTTCAACACTGCCTCCAAGAGGTTCCCGAGACGCCTGGCAAAAGAACCCCCAAAACGCCGCATTGGCACCATGCCCTCGGGCAAACGGCAGACATGAGACT